TATAGATTTTAAAATTTTTATTTTATCCTTTTCCTAATTTGGCTTATCTTTTTAATTATTCTAATTATTGATCGATTAGTATATTGTCTATGAGAATTCTTATAGACAATTGATTTGAAGAGGAAAATTTTTATTTATTTTTTTCTAATTTGACTTTTCTTTCCAATTCTTCGTGATGATTGATAGTGGAAATCGATATGAATTGGTTAAGGATTAATTTGAATTAGAACAGAATTGAGAATTGTTACAGACACTTGACAGAGATTCGTGGAGAAGTTGGAACAAATGGATTCTACTTAAGGCAGGAAAATTTTTATTTTGTCTTTTCTAATTTTTTTTCAATTATTCTAATTATTGATCGATTAGTATATTGAATTCTTATAGTATATTGTCTATAAGAATTCTTATAAATCCTTGACAAAGATTCATGGAGAAATTGGAACAAGTGGATTTTACTTAAGACAGGAAAATTTTTATTTTTTTATTTTTTTTCTAATTCAGCTTCTCTTTCCAATTATTCTAATTATTTATCGATTAGTATCTTGAATTCTCATAGTATATTGTCTATAAGAATTCTTATAAACACTTGAGAAAGATTCATGGAGAAGTTGGAACAAATGGATTCTACTTAAGGCAGAAAAATTTTTATTTTATCTTTTCTAATTTAATTTTTTTTCAATTATTCTAATTATCTAAGTATCGAGTTGAGTATTCTTATATTATATATAGATACTTGACAAAAATTCATGGAGAAGTTGGAATGAATGAATTCTACTTAAGAAAAATTTTCATTTCATCTAATTTAGTTTTCCTTTCCAATTATTCTAATTATTGATCGATTAGTATCCTGAATTCTCATAGTATATTGTCTATAAGAATTCTTATAGACACTTGAGAAAGATTCATGGAGGACAGAAACGAGTAGATTCTATTTAAAGCAGAAAAATTTTTATTTTATCTTTTCTAATTTAATTTTTTTTCAATTATTCTAATTATTGAATAATTGTTTATTCTTATAGACACTTGAGGAAGATTCAGAAAGGAAAATTTTTATTTATTTTTTTTCTAATTTAGTTTTCCTTTCCAATTATTCTAATTATTGATCGATTAGTATCTTGAATTCTCATAGTATATTGTTTATAAAAATTCTTATAAACACTTGAGAAAGATTCATGGAGAACAGAAACGAGTGGATTCTACTCTAAGAAACATTTTCTTACGGATCTTATTAAAATGTTTATGCTACTTGTGTATACTGATAATCGGTACATGTCCATCCGTTTATACATGCTAATCTACATCGATGAATTAATAACACGTTATGAGAATAGGAAACCCTCGTGCGGTTAATTACATCGCGGAAAATTATTCACAAAGAAAAAAGGAGAAGGAAAATACTCGAAGAAAACATCGAGTTAATCTCATACAAGAATTACACATCATTCGCTTTATCGATCTTTTTCTCCCCCCTTCTACCTCTTATTACGTAAGTTAACCACGTAACAAACGATCACTCTTCTAATACTTCAACGCTCTCTCGAAACGAATTCATCATCGATTTTATTAACCAATTTTTATTAAATCGTCGAAAAATTCAACTTCTCCCATCCCAAATTTTTCTAAACGTTTTCCAAAAAATTCAACTCTAAACACTTGCAATACTTTCTCCTATTATTCCAAATATTTATCACAAACGAGATTCGAAATACGAGATTTTCGAAACAGGCGTGGAATCTTCGGGGATCGATCGATCTCCTCTTCACAGAATATATATATATATGTATATATATACACACAATATATTCCAAATATTTGTCCAACGAGATTCGACACGGGATTCACGCGTGTCCATAACCTCGAACCGAAGCGACATCAGTTTGCCGTATATTGCCGCGAGGAGGTGTTGGCAGCGGATCACCCGTTTCCCCGGAGATTCTATTTCGTTGCTGAGTCACGATCCCGCGTTCGTCGACGTGAAAAGAGGGACCTTGTCCTCCTGGGGACACCTTCGAGACATCCCTCTTTGATTCGACGCGTCTCGCCTCTGAATGGGGGACGGGATGGAAGCGAAGGAAGATTGTTCCTTCGTCGAAATTTGTCCAAGGAATACGTGCTCGATTATTAATTTTTTCACGGTTAATTTCGCGTGAAAATCGTGTCGCCAATCGCGAAGAATAAATAAATAATTTTAATTATTTTGCATAATTGTTTTGCTCGATTAGAATTCTTAAAAAATTATAATCCACAGATGTATTGATCGTAAGCGAAGCGAGACACGAAAAATCAATTCTTACTTACGATCGAAGGATAAAAAGGCGAGTTTATTAAATATCTTAATCGCAGCCTGGAAAATTGGTTCTCGTTTTTTTTTTTTTTTTTTTT